GGGGGGGGGGGGGGGGGGGGGGGGGGGGGGGGGGGGGGGGGGGGGGGGGGGGGGGGGGGGGGGGGGGGGGGGGGGGGGGGGGGGGGGGGGGGGTGCCTGGAGCGGGAGAGGTGTCGGGTTTCGGGCCGGGAAGAGGCGGAGGTGGTGCCAGTTCCGGCTGCTCGGAGCGTACCTCCTCTGCGTGTGGCACCGGCTGGGACAACCCCGCTGGTGCTACTGTTGAATGATCTTTCCCTGGTAGGGGAGTTGGGAAGCAGTCCACTGGTCTACGAGAGCGCACAAACGCCACCGCTCCTGATGTGCAGCCCAATTTTCCCACTGCGGCTTCCCGCCGGAGGCCACATCGCATAGCTACAACTGCAATTATCATGAATCAAACCCCGAACCTGTGCCGTAAAATAACAATTCGGCAGCCTTGAAAACAACGAATGGCCTCCGTGAAAGAATCACTACTGCCACACTGGTTCGAACCGTCAACCTTAGCGTACTCATCCAAAAAATCCCTGTCCGAAACCTCACTAACCACAGCCCCTGAAGAGAATTCAATTAGAAGAGTGAACTCCAGATGGAGTCCTAAACACGAAACCTCAAAGACGCCTTATTCAAAAGGTGCCCCGTTCATAAGGCCTGATACGTCCAGGAAAGTCCCTGTCCCTGGTGTGAACAGGATCTCCAACGCCACAATCAGAAGAACGAGAATGCAGAAAGAAGAGTATTCCTTTTTTCCCATAATGGTGTGAGGCCCTATGCTTGCAGGGGTCCCCTCTATATAGTCTTAGGAGTAGTGGTAGGAAGGTATTGAAAGGCAAAGAGAATTTGAGAGAAGAACATAGTGGTTAGGCACACAAGTGGCATTCCTGAGGTAATGGGTCAATCCCCATTGGTCGCCTGGGCATGCATGCTTAAACCACCAGTACCTTTCCCAGCTATCAAGTCCAACCCTCCGGCCACCGTTATGCCGAGCCTTGCCGAGCCTCGAGCCCCCCCCCCCAAAAGAAAAACTACTAATGAGATTCTTAAACCACCAGTATTTGGCCCATGCATCGGGCGCGGGCCGTTGTCGTTAATGCCCTGCAACTTCCGGAGGCTCGGGGTACGGGCCCTCAAAGGCTGGCGCCACCAGCCAAAACAATTTTCTATTGTTGCACTGGTGGGTCGGCGCGAAACCGCGCACAGCCCGTTTTCACGCTCGACATCGATAGCTGGGCCAAGTACTGGTGGTTTAAAAAAGGAAAACAACGAAATGAAACGCCAGAGAGATTTATCCGCTTGAAAAAAAGAAAAAGAGAAAAAAAAGGAGAGAGAGAGAGAGAGAGAGAGAGAGAGAGAGAGAGAGAGAGAGAGAGAGAGAGAGAGAGAGAGAGATTCGAATTAGCAAATGGGAATGAACCTTCCCGACAGCACTGGAAGATTAATTCGCATCTTGCAGATTGGAACGGCACGGCCACAGAGAGAGAGAAACCCGGCGTGTTTGGTGCACCACTTTCTCGCTCTCTCTGTGGCAGCCAGAGAGGGAGAGAAACCCGGCGTGTTTGCTGCACCACTCTCTCGCTCTCTCTGTGGCGAATCTGCAAAATGGGAATGAATCTTCCCTGTGCTGTCGGGAAGATTCATTCGCGTTTGCTAATTCGAATCTCTCTCTCTCTCTCTCTCTCTCTCTCTCTCTCTCTCTCTCTCTCTCTCTCTCCCTACGCCTTTCCCGCCTTCTGCTTGCGCTCCTTTGGGCCTTGTTCGACACCACTTGAAAATACTTGAGTTTCAAGGGCACCCTAACTCAGGGAAGGTGATTAATTTCCTCTAACTTGTTTTTTCGTTCCACAACCCCTTGACGAAACCCTTGAGACGGCCGTCCTTGAAACTGAAGTGCTGCCGTCATTGCACCACGAACAGTGGTGATTGGTGGGGAAAAAAAGAAAACAAGAAAAAGGTCCGTATATTACTCGTTTTGAAGGGTGAAACCCTTGCGCCCCAAGTGACCTCCCGAGGCACCCTTGGGATTTTCGTCGATTTGCTTGGGCCACACTTCCGTTTCAAGGGCGGACACTTGGCCGCGGGGATGTGGAAACGAGTAGCGACTTCAAGGGTGGGTGATTAGGGCGGGTCGAACGACGCTTCCTTAAAAAACAGCAATTTCCAAGTGGTGTTGAACGAGGCCCTTTACCCTGCGCGGTTCCCCGCTTTGTTCCTTTGTTACTTCCTTGTCTGTTTTTTTTTTTCCTTTTCTTTTCTTTTCTTTTCCGTTGTTTTTTCAATCTTTCGCGGGGTACAGTGGGGCCAGTCATGCTCTCTCTCTCTCTCTCTCTCTCTCTCTCTCTCTCTCTCTCTCTCTCTCTCTCTCTCTCTCTCTCTCTCTCCCCCCTCGCCTTTCCCGCCTTCTGCTTGCACTCTTCTCCCCCTTTTCCCCCGCTCCGCTCTCTGCTTTGTTCCTTTGTTTCTTCCTCGTCTGTTTTTTTTTTCTTTTTTCTTTTCTTTTCTGTTGTTTTTTTTCAATCTTTTGTGGGGGTACGGTGGGGTCGGTCGTTCCCTGCACCGACCCCGGGGCGCGTATTTGTTTTCCAAGCAGGGAAACGTCCTGGTAGTTTAATCCCAACCAACTGAGATAGTTGGCTTGCTCTCCCTTGTTCGTTTGGTAGGGTTTTTGGCCATCAAGGGTGTGTTGTCATATTCGCTATGCACTCAAAAAAAGCATGGCTGTGCCAGACTGTTTCGTTCGACTTTCACCGACTCATCAGGGTGCGTGTGTGTGGGGTTGTGTGTGCTGGGTGAGTGCTGGCCACAGACACTGCTGCTAGTTGATGGGGGCGGAGGAAGTGAAGGGAGGCGCAGCTACTGGCAAAATGCTCGGTCTTCGTGTTGGCCGGCCTCCCCCCCCGGTGGCCCCACCGCCAATTAGAGCCGACATATCCGCCCCACGAGCACCGCTGATTAGAGCGGACATATCCGTCCCATGGGCAGGGGAAGTGTATACTCCAGGGGAGGCGCAGCTACTTGGAAAATGCTGTGTCTTTGCGTTGGCCGGCCTCCTGCACAGGTGGTCCCACCACCGATTAGAGCGGACATATCGGTCCCACCAGTGGGGGAAGCCTATACTCCCTCAGCACGCCTATTAGAGCGGTGGGCAATGTGCATCCCCTTGATTGGGAGAGAGAGCATTGCAGGGGTCCTTTGTATAGTCTTAGGAGTAGTGGTAGGTAGGTAGTGGGAGGTGAAATTTAGAGGAGAATATAGCTTAGCTTTCCCCCCTTCACCCCCTCTTCCCCCCAGAAAAAGGACGCGTGATCCGCTGATACTTTTGCAAGACTGCGCTGCAGCAAGGGGTGAATATTGAAATCTGTTTCGTTGAAAAAAGAAAGGGATGGGACGTGGAATCTTTTTTTTTTTTTTTTTCCCTATATTCTTCTCTCAACTTCTGTTTTTTTGCCTTTCACTACCTACTCCTTTAGACCACTAGCACCTTTGCCGCGTGGGAAAGTAGCCGGCCTCGGTTAGGCGTCCGACCTTTTCAGAGGCCGAAACGAAATGACGGGCGCCGATCAGATTTATCAGTGGCAGTCGTGGTCGGGCCCGACCTCCGAATATTCAGGAGGTTGGGGAAACTGCCAGTTTCCCCTATTTTCCCATGGGGGAAAGGTACTACTAGTGGTCTAAGGGCCTGATCCGACTACTACTGTTGAAGGCGAGAACCAGAAAGAAGCCGCTTGGGTGGGCCCGCCCCTTGAGGGAAGGAAAAGTGATTTTGGATCCCATAGCCGGACTTTTACGATTTTGGCGGCGTCCCAAGGGGAAAGGAACGTGCTGTCACACAGAGGAGAGAACTGCGTAGCCCACCAGATATTGAAAAGAAAAGGAAAAATGCCGGCCTTCTTTTTAGGAGCAGGTACGGTGCTGGCTTCTACCGATTTAGGCAAGTTCTTTTTAGCCGCCGAACACCTGGCATGTACAAGTTTGTTTTCACTCGCTGCCGAACTCCACGAGACCTACAAACTGGGAAAGTAGTCGGATCCCGTGAAAACCAGTAGACTACGCTCCGTAGCAGTAGTCGGATCAGACCCTAAGGCTATCTAGAGGGGACCCTGCAAGCATAGTTTCCTCTCACTGTGAAGGGGAGATTTCATGTTACCTCTTGCCCCTAATGTTTAGGGTATAGATTTGGGGCCGCCAGTGGGGGTCTGGCTAACACAAAGACCGAGACCTGCCAGTAGCTGCGCCTCCCTTTCTCATCCTCCCCCAACCCTCATCCAGTAGCAGCAGTAGCTATGGCCAACACTCTCCCACACACCACACACAACCCACTCGCGCTCGTACTCACACCCATGTTGGTCATAGATTCCACTAATACCGATCAGGAGTATCCAGAGGACTTATCCCAATTCGTTGGCACTAAGTGCGCCGCAGTCCGCCGCAGGCCGCCGCAGGCGGTCATGTAACCCACAATCTCCTGAATGCCACTTGCGTGCCTAACCAAGTGAGCTAAGCCGCTGGATCATCGGACGTGGAATCCGTTGTCGTCAATTTTTTTTCTTTTCTTTTCTTTTTAATCACAATCTAATCCTAAATGAGAGAGAGATGACTTCGTCTACTAGGTCCTCCTCTCTCGCACATGCGCAAGCAGTTCGGCTGATGCACGCTGCTCTGGTGAGTCTTCTTCTTCCTGGTCTTGTGAGTTCTTCTTCGTCTTCTTCTTCTTCAGCCTCCTCCCCCTCCTTCTCCTCCTCCTCCTCCTCCTCTTCCTCTCCCTCTCCGTCTCCCCCCTCCTTCTCCTCCTCCTCCTCATCATCATCGTCGTCTTTCTCTAGGAGTGATGAAGAGGCGATCGAACGGTTCCGACAGTACCTGAGGGTTCGCACGGATCACCCCAGTCCAGATTACGAAGCGGCGGCCGACTATCTTCTGTCGCAGGCGCGGGAGATTGGGCTCGGCGCGCAACGAATCGAGCTTGTTCGGGGCAAGCCGATCATCCTGATGACGTGGCAGGGACGGGATCCCGATCTGCCGGCCTTGCTGCTCAACTCGCACATGGATGTGGTCGCGGCGGAGAGGGACAAGTGGATGTACGACCCTTTTGCGGCTGTACGGACGCCACGTGGCGACATCTACGCGCGCGGAGCACATGATACGAAATGCGTAGCCATTCAGCATCTCGAAGCGATCCGACGGCTCAGATTTGGAGATGCAACGCCAGCGAACAGGGAGGGAGGGGAAGAAGGAGAGAGAGTAGGAGGAGAGAGAGTAGGAGAGAAGAGAGTAGGAGAGGAGAGAGCAGGAGTAGAGAGAGTAGGAGAGGAGAGAGTAGGAGTAGAGAGAGTAGGAGTAGGAGGAGGTGGGAAGGGATACATACCTCTGAGAACTGTTCACGTGTCTTTTGTGCCCGATGAAGAGATAGGGGGCAAGGACGGCATGGAGAGGCTGGTGGCATGGGAGGGATTTCGGGAACTGAATGTGGGTTTTGCCCTTGATGAGGGCAAGATGTCAGAGGGGTCTAAATATAGGGTATTATGCGGCGAAAGGTTGCCTTTCGCCGTCATGCTAAAAGCAACAGGGTCTCCTGATGACCCCCCTCCCGACCATTCGTACGGCCACGGAGACAGCGGTGTGGAGCGGCTCATAAATTCGTTGACGTCAATCATGGAGTTCCGACGGTCGCAGTTCGATCTGGTGAAGTCCGGGAGAGCAAATTTGACCGACGTCGTCTCGGTTAACGTCAATTTCCTGAAATTTGGCGCGCAGCATAGTACGACCGACTCCTCCTCAACAACGGGAGGAGGAGGAGGAGGAGGAGGAGGCATTCGACAACGTCTGGGGCCGTGCACGGGCGCTGCGCGGGATCCTCATCCCCGCTCATCATCCGACGTGGAGATCGGATCGGGATCGCATTCTGTGTGTTGTAGTGCTCGTCCACATGCAGCAGCAGCAGCAGCAGCGATCCCGATCCCGATCCGAGCAGAAGCAGCGGTGGCCGCGATCCCGATCCAATCAGAAGCAGCGGCAGCAGCGATCCCGATCCAATCAGAAGCAGCAGCAGAAGATGGAGAAGACGCTACGGGTTTGATGGACATGAAGCTTCTTCTCTCGACGCCGATCCCGATCCCGATCCCAGCCACATCCGATTGCAATGTGGAATCGCTTTCACATTCGACAAAAATGGAAGAAGAGGGATCGGATGTCGCGATCAACATGAAAAAGGCACTTCAAGAGACGGAGACGGCTATGGCGGCGGCGGACGTTCAATCATGTGCGCATTTTGTGAGAGCAGATGAAGACGAAATCAGAACGGACGCAGGTCAGCAAGCTGCGGTCATGGCGGCGGATTGCGGGAACTTGTGCTCGGATTCAACAGAAAATGCAAAAGTAGGAGTAGGAGTAGTAGGAGGAGGAGCAGGAGGAGGAGGGAGAGAGGGAGGAGAGGAAGAAGAAGCCATAGCCGGGATCGACTTCAGATTACCGGCTATGGCGGATGCAGAGGCATTTGTGAAACGATTGGAAGAGGAATGGGCTCCTCGGAGCATGAGTGACAAAAGGGGGGACTCGAACGCAAATGTCATTCAAAAGGGTTATGAGGTTCTTTGGAAGCGGCCATCGCCATCAATGGGTGCTAAGGACGAAGGCGGGAAACCGAAAGTCGGTTCCCGGGTGATGACGATGATGATTACACCGACCAATCAATCAAATCCGTACTGGATGGTTTTCAAGAAAGCAGTGGAGAAGACGGGGGTTGAGCTGTCTGAACCCGAAATTTCGCCGGCTGCTACGGACGCGAGCTTCCTCCGTGCGACGGGACTTCTCGCCCTGGGTTTCACACCTGTGCGACACACCCCCACCCTCGCCCATGCACACAATGAGTACGTAAATGACAAGGATTTCGTGGAGGGGATCTCTGCGTTCGTCCACGTCATCCGAGACATAAGCAGCATGGCGTAGTCACCACGCTATTATGTTATGATGACTTCCGGCCACGTATGTGGATCGAATCATGGCCAGATTCGGCGGGAATTTTGAATCGCTTTCACGCGCGCTCAGCGTCTCCCATGCGCACAAAATTGAGTGTACGTAAACGACAAGAATTTCGTGGAGAGGGGATTTCCGCGTACGTCCATGTCATCCGAGACATAAGCAGGATCATGATGATGGTAGGTAGGTAGTGAAAGGTGAAATTGAGAGATAGAATATAAAGCTTAGTTGGTCGAAAGAAAAAAAAAAGGACGTAGCCGATCCTTGCATGCATGCACACGTACGTAAGCACATGCTCGCCCTACGATTGTTTTTGGGTGGATGTATCTGGATTGGATGATTGTCAGATTCAGCAGCATGGCGTAGGGCATTATACTCAGACACAAACGCACACACTCTCGAAGGGTGGGGGCGTGTGTGTGTGTGTGTGTGTTGATGAGGTTCTTTGGTGAACGGTGTCACTGGAGGAGGGTAGGGGTGTCGTAGGGGTGTGTTCTTTGGAGGGGTGGGTTCTCTGGAAGGAAGGGGGTTTCGTTGGAGGGGGTTTGGGTGTTGGCCGGGGGGGGGGAGGGCGGGTTTTGAGATAGTGAACCCCAGGTAATTCAATGATTTCATTCATCTAGTACTTCCATCTGGGATTCGAATTCAGGTCTGTATTTCGACAGCTCATGGGTGTACCATGAACTACCGTCTTCCCCCGAACATAACGCACCCTTAAAATGAATGTATAAAAGTTGTATTCCGGCCAGATACAGCCAAAACGAGGGTCCGTTGTGTTCGGGGGAAGACCGTAGGCCCGTTGGTGGGGGGCGGGTTTCATTCCCGCCAAGAGTTAAAGCATTAAAAAAATGGCGGCGATAGTCCGCTTGATACCTCTGATCGGTATACTACCTTCTTCCCCCGAATAGAATGTACGATCATTATAGCTGTATCTAGACTGAAACATGCCTCAAATACAGCTATAATGACCGTACGTTGTATTCGGGGGAAGAAGGTAGTAGGGTCCTTGGCCAACACGGGTGTGAGTGCGAGTGTGAGTGGGTTGCATGTGGTTTGTGGGAGAGTGTTGGCCGTAGACAATGCTGTCAATGCTGTTATTCGGTTGGGGGGTGGGGGGGGCAGGGGGGGAGGGGGGATGAGAAAGGGAGGCGCAGCTACTCGGCAAAATGTGCGGCTCTGCATTAGCCGTACCCCCACCGGCGGACCCGCCCCATCCTTGACCACCATGGTTGGGGCGGGGGGGGCGGCGGGGGGCGGGGGGCAACATGCATACCCTCTGATGGGGGGCTGGAGGGAGACAACAAAGCTAGGTTTGCAGGGGTCCCCTGTCTGGATAAGCCTTAGGAGTAGTGGTAGGTACTAGGTAGGTTGTGAAGGTCAATTGAAAGGATTTGAAAGATGATGAAAATTTTGAGTGAGGAATATAGCATAGTTGGAAAAAAAAAAATGAAAAAAAAAAGTGGTATCGGAAAAAAAAAAAAAAAAAAGGTCTGGGATTGCTCCGAAAAAGAGCAAAGTCCTATAAAAAAAAAAAAAAAAAAAAAGAGCACAGAGATGATCGAATTTCACCATTAAAAAATATAGAAACGCTCTCCACAAGAGTCCGTGTTGTCCATCTCATGGAGTTTTTATTTGTATATATATATTTTTTGATGGCGAAATTTTATAATCTCTTGTTGTTTATGGGAGCAATCCCATAGCTTTGTCCTATGTATTAAAATATATATAGTACTAAATTAATAGATCTTTATATGTATAATAGATCTTTTTTATGAATTATAAATGAAACTTGTGTGCGATTAACCAAGCCGGGTTTCCCGTCAGAATGCATTCATTCTGGTGCATTTTGTCTCATTCGAGAGCTCATGTACGACCTCATGCATATCTGGACGCATTTGCCGCCACGTGGCTTTACCTGACCTCACTTACGTTCTGTCGTGTAAGTTGTGGCCACGTGTACATTGCCTGATCCATGTAAGACACGTGCTGTCCAGACCTTTTTTTTTTTTCCTTTTTTCTTTTTTCTCCCTTTGCTTTCTGGGCCATCATTTGGTGTGAATGTCCAGTCAGCACGATGAGGGCGTCGCCGTTTACACAATTCACCAAATGTGCAAAATGGAGAATGCATCTTCCTAGACAGCGTGGAAAGATGCACCCGCCGCCGCTATAGTTTGTCTATTTCACATTTGGTGCTTGGTGCCGCCGGGCCCGTAATCAGCCAGTGAACTGGGGAGTCCCCACTGCCACGGCAGCACCCCTATGGGAGAGGGAGGGCCTCGCCCCACTCCTCACCACATGCATTAAACACAAACACCCCCGTGTGTCATATCGACCCCACTTGCACACAGCCAAAAGGCGAAGAGGCAAAGAAAAGAGGAAGGGAACAGCCAAACATTACAGAACAGGGGGCAAACGAATCCTAGATGACAAGTCCCACATGCAGACACCGCCCCCGACAGCACAGGCCAAAAGACGGGACAAACCAGCCAGGATTCAAGACACGGGAACTGTGAGATGGTTGAAGGATGAGCCAGGCCATTTTCAACATAAATGAATACCAGAAAACAAATTCTACCATATCCATAGCAAAGAATCTGAAGCAAAGAACACCTTATCTGCAAAAAAAAGAAAGACAATCCCAGATGACGATTCCCTCGTAAAAGCACCGCCCCCGCGTAGGCCAAACAACGGAAAACAGCCAACCAGGATGCCCCAAGACGATAGAAAAAGAAGAACCTGGATGACCTATCCCACATGAAGCACCGCTACCATTCTCCCAAAATAGACCGAACAACGGGACAGAGCCAACCGGGATGCAGACAAGGTTACCAAAAAAAACTCCGATTCACAGTGTGACAACCAAAAAAATCTACCATATCCATAACAAACCAGAACCCGGATGATTAGTCCCACATGAAAGCACCTCTACGCTGCCACCCCAATAGACCGAACAACAGGACAAAACCATCCGGGGTACCAAAACGGTAACCAGAACAAAATCTGCCATATACATAGTAAAAGAACGGAACCATACAGTAGGTCCACAAAACGAAATACCCCAACCATGGGGAAGAGTAAAGCAACAAAGGAGAAAAAATTATTTGCTACCATAACCGAAGAAGAGCCTGCTAGTACAGTGCCGACACTCGCCGCATCATCTGCAAAAGCAGAGAGCTAGCAACGCCGGAGTAAATATGAACAAAAAGAATAAAAAGGAAAAAAGAAAGAAAAACAAAAAAAATGAATTCAGTTTTTTTTATCTTCTTTCTTACAACTCCCCCTGTTCAGAACCTCTTGCGTACAAGGCCGCCCACGTGGATGTAGGTTGAGCAGCGGCTGCCCCCACCCCCGTGTGTCATATAGACCCACTTGCACACAGCCAAAAGGCAAAGAGGCAAAGAAAAGAGGAAGGGAACAGCCAAATAAAACAGAACAGGGGGCAACAAAACAGATCCCGGATGACAAGTCCCACATGCAAGCACCGCCCCAGTCCTACACAGGCCGAACGACGGGACAAGACCAACCAGGATGTCAAAACATTCTTGTCTGCAAACAAATCAAAAACAAGTCCCAGATACGTATCTATACACAGCAGATGGCCTTGTTCCACATTCCTATTCGGCGTCATCGTAAGCAATTCGTACCCGGACATCATAAAAAACAATCCTAGATGATGATTCCCACATAAAAGCACCGGCCCCATTGATATAGTCGGTGAAACTCCGACGAAACAGTTTGTCACAGCCCCTCGTTTGTTGTCCTCTTCTCYCTCTCTGCCTACGGTTTACCGGGCAGTTCTATTTGACGATATATATATGAGTGTTCTGACATCCTGGTTGGCTTGGTTGTTTCCCGTTGTTTGGCCCTTTGAGCGCGGGGCGGTGCTGTATGTGGGAATCGTCATCCGGGATTGTCTTCTCCTTCTTTTTGGTTGTCACATTGTGGATTGGAGCCTTTTTTTCGTTTTGCTGATTTTGTCTGTACCTCGGTTGGTTTGGTCCCGTTGTTCGGGCTATCTTATGGGCGTGGCTGTGCTTTCACGTGGGACCAGCCATTCGGGTTTTTGGCATCCTGGTTGGTTGTTTCCCGCTGTTCGGCCCTTTGAGAGGCGGGGCGGTGCCTCCGGGATTGTCTTCTCTTTTTTTCTTGGTTGTCACATCGTGGATCGTCGCTTGTTTATGTGTTGTCGTGGGTGGTCTTGTCCCGTTGTTTGGCCTTTGACGGAGCGGGCGGTGCTTGCATGTGGGACTTGTCATCTGGGATCTGTCTTGTTTCCCTCTGTTCTATTTGTTTCATTTGGCTGTTCCCTTCCTCTCTTCTTTGCCT